CGCTCCTGTAGAATGACAGGGTTCTAAGTTCTAACAATCTAACTCCACCTTTGGTGAGATCAGAGTTTCCCACTGCGCGTTACTGACACGACAGTCTGATGTCCTGCCCACGCCCACTGTATCAAAAGATTGAGACAAACTGACCTGTATGTTTTTTTTCTATAGATTTGCACTGAACAAAAGCAAGTAAGGTGTAAAATATTTGTAGCCGTTTACGTGTGAATCTTTGAATCCAATTTTCTCATGGAATCAGAAGCGGCTATTCCAAGGGCGCTACATAAAATAATAAACGTTTACGCAGATGTGTGTGTGTGTGTGTGTGTGTGTGTGTGTGTTTGTTTGTTTGTTTGTTATGTGTGTTTATGTGATTTTGTGGTAGTAAGTGTATTGTAATAGCAGACCATACTGCTTTCGCGGGTGGTTAATGGGTGTTCCGGTGGGGTTTGCTCCTTCTTCTACCCATCAAATATGTTGTCCTTATCTCGCCTCCTTTTTGTGTTAATTGTAACTCTCTTGTCGCTCCTGATCTAATCTTCGGCACCTGTGTTTTGCAAGTGCCGCAAAATGCTTACTAAAGCTAAAATCTTCATTTCCTCTTGATGTTTCTCGAACTTTCCACTTTCTCCACTGCTCCTGCTACTCTTAATATGCCTACTCTTCTTCTTGTATCGAGAGATCTCTATAGAAGATGGTTTTACTCGTATTTCATTCGTTCCGTGACCTTGATCAAATATAATATATATATACGCCTCAATGACTCACAATGCCTGTGTTATCTGTTGTAAGCTCAGCTGCTATCTCTGTAAGGCAAACCCTGTTGTTCTTCTCGTAGTTTGCCTGCCAAGAAAAACGCCACATTGACATTCTCGTCGAACTTTCTCCGCGCGACCGAAAGTCATGTTGTACTTTTGTCTCAATTATCTTCAAAATAATCTTAAAGAGTTCTTATTTGTTCTTTTGTTGTTGTTGAAGTGCTGTCTGAGTGGCCACTTTAGTGACGTCATTTTGGGGGTTATAATATAGTATCTCTTAAAGTGTACTCTGATACTTCTTGCTTTTTCTGCTGGATCGACATTTTTGCACGTTATCCGTCTTTGAGGCTGGTGTTTTGGGGTTTTTTATTTAGGGGGAGGGAGGGC